GGAGCTAGCGCTTCGATTACGGGTTCGGCCTAACCCAATAGCTTTAGTTTTAACCCTATATTTGTCTTAAGAACCCAATATGGCTTCTAAATTATTAATTTAGATCCCAATAAGTTGAAAAGAATAGAATCTTGAACGCATAAACTTCAAAATCCTGGCTCCACCTCTGTATTTAGGATTGGCAAGAGATGATGAGTTGCTAAATCCTATCTTGAAATTAGTTCCGTATCTCTGTGTGCAAAATTGGACCTTGATGTTGTACTTGGTTTCCAATTGACGTATTCTGTGTATTATTAAAACATGTGAATTGATTTTTCCTGCAGGTATATTTTGTCATCCAAAGTAGAAAATAGTCCAGAGGATTACATATTTGTGTACTATAAGGGCAGAAACGATGCATGGGATGGATATGGTGGTGCTGTACTTTACACAAGAAGTGCAGTTTTGCCTGAAAGCATTATACCCGAGTTGCAAACCGCAGCGCAAAAAGTTGGCCGTGATTTCAACACCTTCATAGAAACAGACAATACATGTGGCCCTGAACCTCCCCTTGTTGAGAGGTTGGAGAAGAAGGTGGAAGAAGGCGAGAGGACGATCATAAAAGAAGTCGAGGAGATAGAAGAAGAAGTAGAGAAGGTGAGAGATAAAGAAGTCACCTTATTCAGTAGACTGTTTGAAGGTTTTAAAGAGCTCCAACGAGATGAAGAGAACTTCTTAAGAGAGCTGAGCAAAGAAGAAATGGATGTTTTGGATGCACTTAAAATGGAGGCAACTGAGGTAGAAAAACTTTTTGGGCGTGCTTTACCAATAAGGAAGTTAAGGTAAGTATCGTTAAAAGAGTGTTTTTAAAGCCATTGAAACTATCAGCATATATACTACATGTATAGTTGTATTTGATTCTTTTGCCAGGAATAGATTGCTCATACATCATGTATTGCTTCTTTTTCAGAAGCATAATAGTATATTTCTTCTCCTTTTAAACCATTACCAGTGCCCGAATAAATATCAAAGTTTCCATATTCTGTTGAACATTCTCATTTAAAGAGCAGTAAAAACACTGCGAGTAAGTTGCTAACCTGCCGTAGCATTGATTGTTAGTTCAACTGGCATGACTTAATGCTTTATAGAAAATCAAGAGTTAAATATCCTTTTTCAATTCCCATCTTTACATGTCACAAGATCAATTACTCCTATTACTAAGGGAGGAAAGAATTTGAAAGGTGCTTTCAGATTTTATTCGAAGAGTATGAAAAGCCATTGATCTACGTAATAAGATCTAGTGCTTATAACGGCATCTGTTATATGAATTAAGGGGCCTAATAAAGGTGAAAATATGGTAACACATGGACAATAAATACTTGTCCGCACTTTGTATTTATTATACCAAATAGAATAATCTAATTTTAATAACACAAATTAAAGTGAAATATATATCACTTAACCATGGTTCAGTAATAAAAGTTTTTACACAACACAGTCTGGCATTTATTTGCTTTTGCAAACACCACGTGCACGTAAGATTTTCTCTCAATGCATCAGTCTGCTATTTACATTTCCTACATAAAGTAAAATCAAATGTCCCAACTGAACAGTAAGTTCAAATAAGAAGTTCTATCCATTACGGCTTCACAACAGAACTATTTACAATCTTATCCGATGTTCCTTAGTGATGCCGCTAGCATCAGAGACATTGCATCAATTCGTTCCATACACAAACTACATAGTGCAAAAAGTAATTTCAGCGTTTTGGGTCAACTATTGTTCCTAATTCAAAATATACATCTTGTATATTCCACCACTGCAATTCAAAAGGTCAACTTTCTTCACCAACTGTACATATAGCAGTTTCTGCAGATATTTGCAAAAAAAGTAAGTAAAGGGCCACGAAACATGGTCAGCTTGAAGAACCATCTGACAAACAGTGATCCCGTATTAACTTCAAGTTGTCTTCAAGCATTTTCAACACCAGGTTTTCGTCAATTGTTTGCTTCTGCATTTTTGGTAAGAGAATGTAAACCAACAACAACAATGACCCAGTAAAATCCCACAAGTGGGCTCTAGGGAGGGTAGTGTGTACCCAGACCTTACCTCTATCCGAGGGGGTAGAGAGGTTGTTTCCGATAGACCCTCGGCTCAATAAGACGAAAAGAGACAGTAAGAGAATGTTAATCAAATCAATTATTTCAGAAGTGCAGGTTCAACTTAGAAAATAAAACACAAATGCTTATCAATTCAACAATGAAGAGACACTGCATGGTTCTGTTTGTACTTCCAAGCACATGCGAGGGCGGTAAATTTGTGTTGCTCCAGCTGCTTTGGATGATATTTTGCCCAATTCGGTGGATATTATCGGTATGTGGGAACAGGGTACAATGTTCAAATCTAATTTCTAAGAATATTATGATATGGTTGTGTAAATTACACCTATTGCAAGCACGCACGGATGTATTACCCACAGAGACCAAATAAGATGTATTACCCACAGAGACCAAATAAAAATAAGTATACATAATTGCTTGTCAGAGAAAGAAACCTACCCGCAATTGAGATACAATCCCAGGCATTTTTAGGCTGGTCTCCCATGAAACCTCACTAGTTGAAGATCTGAAATCAAATCGATCTGCATGTCGAAGCTTAAACCTGATTGACAGATTTCCATATGATTTTGCAGTTGTGTGCCAAACACCAATTACAGCATATCGACCCCCTGAAGAATCTTTGCCAATGGGCCATCTCAACCCACCCTTAACTTCTGAGTCCAAAATGCCAGAATCAATAAGATTTTTAATTCCAGCGATCTCCTCATCCTGGAAAAATGCAAAGAGTAATTCAAATCAGAAGACTCACTCTTTAGCTACACAAATACCACTACTGGTGTTCTTTCAGTTAAACAGTGCATGAGTCATGATGAGGAGATGGAAATTCAAAATGCATATAAAATCAGTAACACAGGAAAAGATCTTCGTTCTCTGGAGTGGAGTAAAAATATGTCCACCAAAAGTGCACACAAATCACACCGTTGCTGTCAAGTCAATGGGTTTTGTTGCTCCATCCCCTGCTCATTAAAGCAAACTCGCTTTGCCATTTATAAATCACACTTACAAACCCATATTGCTCCTAAAATTGAGATTATTGTTCTGATGCATTTATAGATCTTGCTATCCCACTCGTCATATTGTGTGGAAAAAGTTCCTTGATGATTAACCCAAAAAACAAAACAGGGACCAGGAATTGGAGCTGAGCCATAGGTGAAGACTAATTTGTTCCACCTTTTTGACTTATTTTTCATTGAGAAATAGCAATTTATGTAGTTCTGATCCCTCTGATGTTTAAATTAAAGAGTAGAATTCGTCTCACTACTTTGTGGATCAGATTGTCAACTAATATCTATTGCACATTGCACTGGTCAACTAGTACTTGATTAAGCAACGGTGGGTTCATATTTGCGTCTAATGCTACTTAAGTTATCTTTATTGCTTCAGGAAAAAAAAGAATGTTCCACCTTCTGTCCTATCCTCAACAGACCCCAATATTGAACTAAAGGGCAGAAAGAGGCGGGAGGAGAAGCTGAGGAGAGAGAGAGAGGGAAATTACAAAACGTACATAAAAAGCAATAAACATAGTGGAAATAATAAGGCTGGCTAGTCAGACTTAAAATTGTAAATACCAAACAAAGAATTACAGATAAGACAGTAGCCAAAAGAAATCCTATCAACGGAAAGGCAGAATCATGGAGTAGTCAAAAAGCATATGTCCCTCATAAGCTTGAAACTAGACTTTAACTCTTCAAATAATTTCTGACTAAATGCTTTTGACAAGCAAGGGCGGTGGCGGATCTAGGATTTAAGGTTACAGGTTTTGAATTCCAGGACTCGATAGTTTACTCGGTTCAACATGGATTATTTATGCATACTAGTGTTAGAACCCGCGCGATGCGCGGATAATTTGATGGAATATTAATCTTATAAAATTATGATCTAATATATCATATTAATTTAATAAATAATAGTTACGATTTTATTATTTAATGTAGTGTACATAAATATAATAAAATCTATACAAAATCAAAGGATACAAAGCATTATAGTAATCAAATAAATTGTTTATTCCTTGTTTATTCTTTATTAAATTAGCAAGTACTTTGTACTATACATTTACTAATGTGAATTTTTATTAATTTGTCAATTGGCTTAACATTTTGATACTACTTCTCTTCTAGTAGAACATACGTATATCTTTTCTTATTCTGGAAATATATATTTTTATACTTATGTTATACTGTTTAAAATTCTTTAATTGTCTAAATTTATCAATAATTTTCTTGAGTGTTATTTATTTATATTTTGTGTATTAATTAATTCAAAATATAATATTATAAAATTATCTTTATGCACCTCTTTTCGTACATTCATTTCTACTATAATATTTGATTAGTTTTCTCATTTTATATTTACTGAAAATTTAAATAATATCATTTTTTTTACTAAATTATAATTTTGAATTCATCAAAAGCATAAAGAGATAAGCCTTTTATTATTTTTTTTATAAAAAACGTACTAATATTTTTAAAAATTAATAAAATGTGTTTTATATATAATATATTATCTTATGTATAATATCCTAATAGTTTCTTTATATTTTTGTATTTTGCATTATGAAATTATGAGTTCTATTTATTAACTAAATTTTCCTAGATGAGAAATTTAATTGGTATATGTATTTTTACGATATCATTTGATTTGTTTATTTTTATTAGTATTCTTCATTTATGACTATTTGTTTATTATGATTTTAGTTATGTGTATATATACGGCTTTTCTCATAATAATTCTAATTATTTTTATAAGTCTTATATATATATATATATATATATATATATATATTTGTTTCTTGGTTATCTAATTGTATTATCCATTACTTAATATTGCTAAATTGACATATGAATTATTAATAAATTACCAATTTAGTATAATAACTACTCCCAGATATATATACACACACGCACACTATTAGATAACTACTATATGGGAATAGTTATCTAACTACTCCCATATATAAAAAACTATTATATATATGGGAGTAGTATAATAACTACTCCCATATATAAAAAACTACCAATTCGAATTGTTAGTTTTTTTGTTTTTTTAATGTAAAATAATTTTAAAACTCCAATTTGTATGAGTAGAATATTTTTTTGTATTTTCGTTTTTTATTGATAATTATAAGATATCTATGTTTATTAATTCAAGTAGTGTAACCAATTAATTCAAAATTTAAAATTCAAAAAAAAAATAGTTAGAAAAGTAGTTTATTTTGTCTTAACAATGCCACTTGGCTTTTTGTGGTTAAGACACTTGTCTTAATGTAGTGCTTTTGCTTCTCCTATTCTATATAGATAGATTCAATAAATTTTTTAACACAAATACAGGCCTTGGGCAAAACTACTGGGTTCTGCCGAACACGTAACTTGTACCGAAGATTCGTGCCTGTTGATAAGAAGCAATTCAATGGCGTGTCATGCATACTTCAAAATTCTCTGCTTCCACCTTTTATTAGGGTGATAAGCACTTTGAGTCATTGAGTGCAGTCCATACCTGTACTCGCTCCTGGTACAAGATCAATGTAACACTATTCAATCTGGCAAGCAACACTATCCTTCTAAAATCTGAAGGCATCAGACTTAATGAACTTGATGAAACATCAAAAGACACCTCATTTTCCACCACAAAAGGAACTATGCTTTCTTGGTTTGCAACTTCATCTTTGGTTGGGCTTTGAAAGCCCTTAAATCTTAATAGATACAACAACAACAACAACAACAACCACCCAGTAGAATCCCACTAGTGGGGTCTGGGGAGGGTAGAGTGTACGCAGACCTTACCCCTACCCTGGAGGGGTAGAAATGCTGTTTCCGGGAGACCCTCGGCTTAGAGAAAAATCTTAATAGATAATAGTAGCTATTTTGATACACCAAGCAGATCAAATTCATTAAAGACCCTAAGGCTAAGGCCTATGAAGAATATCTTCATTTCTACTTTTTGCCTCTGTATCTTCTTTTTTCCCTTTTTTTAAAAGATAAGGATGGTATCCGGGCCAGCTTCTTTTTTCCTTGTTCTCTTTTCTAGTTTCCCTCATTTGAGTTTCACTTTATAACTGTTTTATATCTAACTCATTCCAGCAACTAGAGGACTCCAAAAACAATGCCAGGAGTAAATCAAACCTGTATTCGAGCATTTTAAACCTACCGAAGCCTATAAGGTCAGCCTAAAATGCGATATATTTTACTGTTCTCTTTTTCATGAAGAAACATTCAACCCTCCCTCAACATCAACACACCCAGTGCAGTCCCACAAGTGGGGTTTGGGGAGGATAGTGTGTACTGTGTACGCAGACCTTACCCCTACCTTGTGAAGGTAGAGAGGTTGTTTCCGATAGACCTTCAGCTCAAGAAAAGCATGTAAAGAGAAAAATCCATACGAGAAAACACTATATTACAAGTATAGAAAAGCCATACAGGTACGAAAAAGAATTACGCTCGACTACTTACTAACCTACTACCCTAATTCTTGACCTTTACTCCAACCTATCAAGGGTATGTCCTCGACAAGCTGAAGATGTGATATATTCTGCCTAATCACCTCTCTCCAATACTTTTTCAACCTACTTCTACCTCTCCTTGGCTCCACCATAGCCAACCTCTCACACCTCCCCAGCGGGACATCTGTGCATCTCCTCTTCACATGCCCGAACTATCTCAACCTCGCTTCTCACATCTTGTCCACCACGGGGGCCACTCCCACTTTATCCCAAATATCTTCATTTCTAATCATATCTCTCTTAGTACGCTCACACATCCATCTCAGTATCCTTATTTCCGCTACTTTCATCTTTTGAAAATGAGAGGTCTTGACTGGCCAACACTCTGCCCCATACAACATAGTCGATCTAACAACCACTGCATAGAACTTGCCTTTAAGTTTCAATGGCACTTTCTTATCACACAAGACGTCGGATGCAAGCTTCCATTTTATCCATCCCGCTCCAATACGATGTGTGACATCATCGTCATTCTCCTTATTACTTTGGATTATAGACCCAAGATACTTGAATCATCCTCTCTTGAGGATGACTTGTGTATCCAGCCTCACTTCCACGTCATCCTCCTGAGTCACGTCACTGGACTTGCACTCCAAGTACTTTGTCTTAGTCCTGCTCAACCTGAAACCTTTAGACTGCAGGGTCTGCCTCCAAACCTCCATCCTAGCATTAACACTACACCGCCTCGCGTCTCGTCAACCCTCACTCAAAGCCACAAAACATGAAAAAGCAAGAAATTTACACCAAGAGTAAGTGAATGGAGATGTTTCTCAACAATGATCCAAAAATATAAATGCAAACACCGGACGGAACTTTCAAATATGAGTTACAGCTTAACAAGGTAAAAGAATAGCAAGAAATAACAAACAAATGGAGGACTTGGATCTAACTAATATACCGATCGATTCTAGCATACAGAAAAATTAATCCTCAATGGAGGAAGTAACTTACAGATAAAGCGGTCATGATTTTCTTGGTATGAAGCATCAATCTCAGGTCTGAACTCTTTCCAAGACAGCTCATATCTTCAACCATGTGGCGTACTTGGTTCACCTCAATCTAAAAGAAAAAGCATAGTGTCAAAAGACAGAAAAAGACAAACTGCACGAAGTAAAGCATGCAAAAATATAGGTAGAGGAGCTAAATATGTTCATGGCAAGATTAAATGTTGTTTTTCTAAAGTTAAAAGTAAACAGTTAACTGGGCAGCTTGCAAGAAATTGTAGTCTTCATCAAGAAGCAGGCGGAACTGAGTTCTAACCTTATAGAGCTGAATTCTTTTCTGATCCTCGGCTATTGCACATCTGCAGGAGACAGTTGAATCAGAACGCAAGTTATCGGAAAGCTACAATCACAAGGGTTATCAAAAAAGAACCAATACATAAAGAGAGCTACATTTGCTAGAAGCATGAAAATAATACCTTAATATAGTATAATTCCTTCTCTTCCCCATATTCTAGCCCAAGAGTCTCAAATGGAAGATTTCCTATATATTCCATATATGAAAGAGGAACATTCGTATAGAAAGATTTTTTCATTTGCCTCAAAGCAGTTTCACCCAATGGACTTTTCAGGGATTCTTGACTATTTGAAGAATTCCTGCATCACAGAGAATTTGAGGATTACATGTCGAAATGTGCATTGGATCTAATAGATTCAACAAAGCAATGCTTCAAATAGTGCAAAATAAGCAGCATTTTAGCATCTAGGAGAGAAGTTAGAACTCAAGTATGAGGTTATTAACGTAATTTAACTATTAAAGGGACAAGTTACCCCAAATGCTACAATATTCACAAGGCAGAAAAATCAGAATTCAGAAGTTTGAAGGTCACCATTGTCTCTGTTCATTCCCGCCCACAAATTTAGAAACCTCTGCTTTAAATACCATCCACAGAGTAAAATGGATTGAAAGTAATCATGAAGTATGATGAGGTTTTATTTTTTAATCAGCAAATTATGATGAGGAGCAAAAACCCCTCCCTCTCCCTTTACAAAGTTTAAAGGAAAAAAATCCGCTCATCTTAAAGGAAATAAAGGTTGCGTGTTGAGAAAACTTATATCTGCTTTTATATGAAAAAAAAATAAAATTTAAAAGGTATATTATTTAGATAATTTTAAACATTTTATTTCCCTTGAAGTCACACGAATTCAGTTTTCAGAAGTGTTATGAAACCAGCAATATTATATGAAAGTAAGTGTAGGGCCTCTAAGGCCCAGTATAAGAGGAATATTGTAAAAGTATAGACAGATCCTAGATGGATGTGCGATCATAATGTTGAACGATATTAGAAATAAATAAATCTAATACAAGGTGCAAGTAGAGCACATTGAATATAAAATGATCACATGAGATCACCATATCTCACAAGGACATTCATAAGCACAAACCTAAAGGCGCAAAACTATGATGATTAGAACTGCTAGAAAAAGACAGGAACACCTAGAATCACGAGGAGAAGACTATCTCAAAAGACCTACAATTTCTTGAAATCAATGTAGAATTAGATAAAGAGTTCACATAAACAATACTAACTAGTTGGGTTAGTTGACTAGTTGTTGTAAGACTTACAGTAGACTCGTTGTAGTAGTCTCTTGCATCTAGTTAATACTTGTATGTCAATGTCAAATAAGTTTGCGAGTTAGAGAACTTCTAGTTTTAGAAATGTCCTACTTTGCCTTACAAGAGAAAAAATTTGAGTACTATAATAAAATGGACTTGAATAAAGCTGAAGGACACAGAGAATTCGTATAATGAATCCAAACTAGATCGGAATTGAAGCATAGCTGGCTGATTAATTATTTTCTTTTAAGTGATACAACTAAGGAACATGATCTTAAAGTAGCAAATTGCAAAGATCACAATTGTGGGGTAGGAAGGTTATAATACTTATTTACTCAACTCTAACGAGTCCTTGAGCCAAGGATTTATCGAAAACAGCCTCTTTATCTTCACACGGTAGGGATAAGGTATGCGTACACTCTACCCTCCCCAAACCCCACTTGTGGGATTACACTGAGGAGTCGTTTGGTAGGGTGTATAAGAATAGTGCGGAATAAGGTGTATTAGTAATGCAGGGATTAGTAATGCATGGGTTAGTAATGCAAGAATTAGTTATGCAGATATTATTTCTTATCTACTGTTTGGTGTGGTGTATTAAAAATTATAATGCATTGCATAATTTTTTAAAAGAATAGTTGTTTACAAAAATGCCCTCCATATTCTCTAGCTTTAAGGGACTTTAAGGACAATTTTGTGTCTAACCATATTAATGCATGCATTAATAGCCTTTGCATTACTAATGTCATGGTTTTCTATGCATTACTTATACATAGGATAATACCAAGTATGATGTATAACTAATACAAGTATTAGTTATACATAGGTTGAAAAAATGTACCAAACAAGGTATTAGTAATGCACAAAGTTAATGCTTGCATTATTTTTTCTAATACCTCCTACGAAACGACCCCGGAATATGTTGTTGTTGTTCTTGTTGTTCAACTCTAACGAGTTAAAAAAAAAAAGTAAACATGCAAAGTATTCAGAAGCCAAAATTCTTGCACATAATCTCTGCACTACTCTTGCGCGCCGTCCTCTATGCCAGTTTATGAAAAATCGGAAAACACTATGTGTCCATCTATTATGGTAGTCCTTTTTGTGATTTTTTAATGTAGCAGTTTTCGTAGTGACTACAAGGCAAAACAAAATGATAAAGGGAACAACTACAATAAGTTTGTTTAGGAAAAAAATACAGCATTCAGTCTTCAATAGGGTTTGACTAACCTCCTTAATGGCAAACATTGAGAAGAGACTACCAACTAATGAATATCTTTGTCACTCGGTCAAATATAGACAGTATAACACTCAAATTAATGGTCACTTTGTTAGTCTAAAGTCTAAACTCTTTGCCAAACAGTCAAAGTCCTTTTAAGTTTCATCCATGCATTGTCCCTTCAAAGACATCCAATATATTAGGGGAAAAGAAAAAAAGACAACCATGCATTATCTAATTTCACTTGATTTTTATATTCTTTAATTCCCCAACATAAGGTATTGCTTAAAAACTTCCCAACTTTCATCATCAATATTTTCTATTCTTCGCAAGCCAAAAGGGGATGAATGACAAGGGGTACAAATTGACCAAAAGAACAGCCAGCCACTTTTTGTGTGTGGTGGTGGGGGGGGGGGGGGGTTGTTTCATTGTTACATACCTATATGTTTCGAATATAAGGACACATGTTATTAGTTCTCACAAGGGTACAAAAGACTCCAAAGATTCTCAATATGACAAGCCTAATATGGAAATGAAGTACTAACCCGTAAAAGAGAATCCTTCCAAATCGAGCAACTAGAGTCGGCTTTAATTCTTCCATATTAGATTGCTCCATTTCACACTTCACATGTTGAAATGACAAAAGTAAGTCCTCCGTCACAATTTTAGCCACCAAAAGCCATGGCTTATCCAGAAGCTGATTTGTTCCTTCATTGCAACATAGAACAAGTATGTGCATATATATATGGTTTAGTAAAGATCACTGAACAAAGATTTGAGAAAGAGAAATCAAAATTGAAGTCCACAAAAATCAGACAAAAGGACTTAGAAATACAAACCCTCCGAACTAGAAAATTCAGCAGAAAACAAAGGTACGTGCAATACCACAAATGATTGATTTTAATCATTCGTTCCACACAGGGACGAAGCTACATTCACTTAAGCGTGGTCAATTGACCACCCTTAGTTGAAAAATTACACGATATATATAGGTAAAATATTAAAGTTTAGAGGTATATAACATATATTGAACACCCTTTGTCGGCAAATTTTTTTCACTTTGTTCTAGTTTGAACACCCTTATAAAAATTCCTGGCTTCGCCACTGGTTCCACAACAAAAATTATGTACTAATCTTAGACCAGAGATTCTAACTGATAAAAAGCTTAACATAAATTTGACTTCCATCCGATTTAATATGAAGACATTTACCTCTTCAAATTCAGTTTCCCTTTCTCTTTACCTCTTGGGGTGCAACCATTCTCTGGATGAAAACGGGATGCTTTGTGCACTGGATTGCCCTTTTCAATTCTTCCAGAATTTTGCAATTTGTGTCGCTGTTAAGTCCATACACTAAGAAAGACAGAAAGATGCCTTAAACCTAGCAGAAAGCGAGGTGTACGTCACGTTCAAAAAGGTGCACCCCATGCACCACGTAGCGTACCTACCTAGCTTCTTTTTTCATGTACCTACACTAGCTGATGACAAACCGAAACAACACTCTCTAGGTACAACCGCTAAAGCATATAAGTACAAACATTTGATGCAGCATTCTTCAAGTAAGGGATTCTACTTTTATTTGACTACTCTTCTAGAAAAAAGGAGGAGAAAGTACTAGTACCTTCCATTAGAACCAAAGAGAGAGGTTTATCTCCTGATTTTCGCTCCACTGAAACGGGTTGGAGCCTCACAAGAGATGAAAACTGAGAATCGTCAACAGTCAAGCCAACGGGGAACCATTTGGAAACTGCATCATGAGCGTAAAGGATGCCGCCCAAGTACTTTTCCTTTCTCTTCTGGTTCCCGAAATTCAGGTTTTTCTTGAAGGTAGGTATCAGGGACTCCGGCGCCGGAGATGGCTTCGGCGACGGCGATCCCTTTGTGTGCCTTTTGTGCGGCGGAATGTAAGCGGACATTGGCTCACTCACTAGTATAGAACTGTTCAGTTCTATACTACACAGTTCTGGAGTGGAGTGTGCTTCTTTAAAATAGGAATATCAATTTAATACTACAAAAATGTAAGCATAAACGTTTTGTTAAAAAACATGGATATACAAACAAAAACAAAAAATAAAGAAAAACATTTTGTTATACATACTCCCTTTATCTTATATAGTCTCTTAAGAAAATAGAATTATCTATAATAAATAATTTATGGAACTTTAACTTTATTTAATTCTTAATAACGATTTTTCTTTTGAAAACCGTCTGTCTCTACCTTCATAAGGTAGGATAAGGTCTGCGTAGACACTACCCTCTCCATACTCCACTTGTGTGATTTCACTCGGTTTATTATTGTTGTTGTCGACAATTTGATAGTTAAAAGTTTCAAAAGTATTTTTTTTTCTTAGACTATCACACTATGTACGTTTATCTAAAATGAAATAAAGCAATAATACCCACCGTAATAATATTGTTAGATTGACATCCCATTACTCTTTACTTTGACTGAGTATGTATATAAAGTATGATGTATAGTGTATCAACTTTTTTTAGCTGAAACGTGTGTTGTTTTCTCATTTGCAACAAAAATCAAAGAATGCTGATTTGGTTTCTCACCAAACCAAAAAACAAAAACAAAAAAAGAAAGAAGGGAAGAGTTGGATATGATGAAACTTTGAAAGCAATGTGCTTATTAGAATAGGATAATCACGGAATGGGCATGAATTACTTTCTTTGGGAACTTGTGGTACATATATTTGCATTCTCAATTCAATATTTGAGTCTTTCCTTACCATGTGATTTTTCTACATAGCAATTTATTTGGTAAACAAAAGGTATTTTCAGCGTTCATTTGACAAGCTCAAGTGCTTCTGATACTATGGGTGTGTTTGGTATAATGGAAAATATTTTCCGTGGAAAATATTTTCCGTGGAAAATATTTTCTTGAAAAACAAGTAGTAATCTTATTCATTTTTCGGTGTTTGGTACGCAGATTAAGGAAAATGACTTCTCAAAAGTATTCATAAATAATTTAGATATAATAAACATGAAGCCATAAACTTTTAAACCGACAACCTTCCGAACCCACAAATTTCATAAACCTTCGAACCGCTAAACTTTCAAAACCGCAGAATTTCGAACCCGTAACACATAAATTTGCTGATGTTTAATTTCGAACTATATATTTTTTATAACTTTTTAGATGCCTTGACTATTTATTTCAATTGTTTAAATCTTTATTTTCAAGTCAAATTAAAAAAAAAAGATTAACTAAAACTTTATTATTTTTGGCCAAATAAAAATATTTAGCCTAAATAATGTAATTTTATCCAAGTTTTATTATAAATTGTATTCGAAAAAATTTATCTAAAAAGTAATATTCTTAAAAAGGTAAAAAAAATATTTTATTTTTTAAAAAAATGTCACGTCGACAGAAAAATCTACATGGCAGGTGAGTGCACCCACACTTTTTGCCACATCAGTGTTTAAGGGGGTAATGGCTCTCAAAAGACCAAGTTGAGGGGGTAACTAAGACCGGACATAGTTCGAAGAGAATACTAATAATATGAGCCAAGTTTAGGGGTGGTTTAAGATATTTTGCCAAACATCTTAAGTAGTGTGTTTGGTAGGCTGAAAATATATTTTTGACACTAAAGATTTATAACAATATCCGCAAATCAATTATTATTTTATGAAAATTACTAAAGATTTACCAAAGTGCCTCCGCCCTCTGGTCCATTTCATCTTACTGTTTAGATTTTTAAGACATGAAATTAAGAAAAACATCAGCAAATATCATTAGTTATAAAGGGTATCTCATTTAATTACCATTATCTTTTCCTTAAATATGAGTCAGGGGTGGAGTGTGTCTTCTGGGATGAGAAAGAGTTGTCATCGTAGTATTGATGCGAGCCAATTCACGGCAACAACTCCGGTTAATGTTGGTCGGCGATTCTCAAAGTATTATAATCCTAAGATAAGATCAATGTTAGATTTTGTCCCATTTTGATTTTCTTCCTTTGTGGTACATTGATATGACTAAGACCAATCTTGTTTGATAGGGTAAACGATGCCGCCGTTTTTTAGAATGGACAATGATGAGCTTGACCTTATGGTTGCTGACCTAATCTGCAATTTGAAACAATATAAGGACGCTCTGAAGAATGAAAGGAGTGTTCTGTCGTTGAAAGTGGCCAAATCTGAAAATATTTTGGGTGCAGGAAATACTTTTGTGAAAGAAGATACGGGTAGGATGGTTATGATGGATGAGAAGAGACTGAATAAGTGGATTATGTTCTGATGCGTCGTTGTTGGATTTGTGGCAGCTCGAGTCATCAAATGAGAAATGGATATTCCTTTGTTTTCGATAAAGATTGTTTATCATGTCCGCGTTCCCCCCTTTTTTTAATTGCATTTGACCCATATAATGTTATGTCATACAATTTGGCATATAACCAGTAGATGCAACTACAAGTTTATAATGAACCAAGTAGCTAGTTTATCACTCCAGTCATTGTTTAAAATAAACCAAGCATACTACTTTTGTCCCAAAAGTTAACCAAAAATCATTTTTAAACAAGACTCGAATATTTTAAATAATAATTACATAACCAAATGTTAATACTATTAACCATCAAAGATAATTAAAAGGGATTCATCCTTTCCATGTAGATATCAACTGCAAACTTTTCCCTGCAGATATCTATTTGTTTGTCATTAAGCTTCACAATCGGCGTATCAACTAAGTGGAAGTCAATAAAATTCATTGCATATGCTCCACTTAGTTCACTACAATAATCAACCACACCATAGGTCAAATAACAAACTATAATAAGTAATGAAGCTAATGGTTGATTTTTCGTATACCTTTTATCTGTGGATGACACATCCAAAATTCGCTCCCGTGATCATTTCTTTGAAATCACATTCTAACCTAGGTGTTTAAACTAACCACTCTTCAAGATCCTGGGCATTATATGTGCCAGAGGCTAAACAAGTACATCAAACTTAGCATCATCATACAAATTGATGTTGCTGTCGTAAATTCGAATCATACCCCGTTTCAAGTGGAAGACAACAGTCGCAAAGTGAGTGTTTTCAATGTGCCAAATGTAGTACAATATTTAGTACTGTACCACTCTACAACACCGGGTTGTTGCACACTTCGTCAAGGATAAATCATTGGCATTGTAAGGCACAAGCATTAACAAATAAAATTATTATCACAAAAATTCACATCTTCTTTTTTTGTCGTCTCCTTCAACTAATCTCATATTGTGTAAAGGTTGTAGCAAAATGCAATATCCAAAACAAGATCATTAGGGTCACAAAGATCAAAATATTTTTTGTTGCATAACCGCATCAACGCCAATAATTTCTCCACATGCTAATAATTTAAAAAATCATATATTATCTACTAAACTACTTGCTTATAGAAAAAAACGCAATGGTTATATCTTGTTACACATGGGTTAGCGCCGCGCAACTCTTCAAACCACTTCCAACTATAGCTTCCAGTCATACAATTCTTATGATACTTCTCCTTCTTGTCCAACCATTTAAGTAAGATGGGAGCCAATACAAAACTAACAAGCAGGAACCCTGGTCTAGACACAATAGGATCAATTGAGTTAGCAAATATAATATGCATACAAGCATCTTTTTCTTTCTATTTTTGAATTTGGCACTATTTAAATTTAAAAAAATAGCCCATTGGGGTGCTTCTTGTCTTCCTCCCCATCTGGTTTAAGTACATCAATCTTAGGTTTATTCCTTTAATTCTTTTTTACCTTCTTCTTGCCAGCAAAAACTGCAGCCTTCCTCAATCCGGTTTGCAGCTTAGTTCACCTTTTTCTTCTTCTTGATGCCTTTGTTTTTCGTTTCTTCTTGTCACGTTTAGAAGGCTCAACATTTTCTTTACTGGCAGAAACTTCAGAACTATCTGCATTTCATTGCATACTACCAATCTTTGAAGCAGTTTTTTTCCCTTGTGCCAGGCTTTGAAGACCGATGAAACTAGTATTTTTCTAGTGGCAGGTTTTGAAAGCTTTGGATTTGCTTTATTTACTGACCAAGGTGGTACCAAGAGACAAGTTTGAATTGTGAAAAGAACTTGTCGACATGCACTCAAGCTAGAAGTCCGGTGTTACCTCCTTCAGGTAAATAGGACTGGAGGGGGAGATAGTGGGGTCCAGCCCCATATGTGAAAGAAGATGAAGCTTCCTTTTGGTTTTTGTCAAGCCAACAAATTTAGAAAATATTTGGACAGCTGACTTTTGCATCAAATATTAATGTCATTGCATACATCATCATGGGCATTCTGAAACTATAAACAGGTGCCTCTACTTTCATTTGTAAACACACTAACAAAGAGAAAGAAAGAGTGAGGTTTCACAGATAGGGTATAAGAAAATAATTTGTGAGAAAAATAGAGAGTGAGCGATATTGTAGTGAGGTGGGAATATCAAAAGAGTGTTATTTCTTTTGAGTGTTGTAGTGATCTTTGGAGTATTTTACTCGGACCTACAAAGTGTAAAATTCCTTGTTGTAGTGATATCAGTTGCTCCTTTGGGGCCGTGATTTTTTCCTTATTCAGAAGGATTTTCCACGTAAAAATCTTGGTGTTGTTGTCACTCTTTTATTCTTGTTAATTATCGTATCTCGGTGCTACGTTATTATTCTGCTTTTATTACCGTGAATATTATTTATGTGGGGATTTATTCCCAACAACTAGTATCAAAGCACAGGTTCTGCTCGTTCACAGAAATACTATTCATTGTCGGTGGTACTATACTCGGTGAAAAACAAAAATGTGTGGAGTAAAGTACGAGGTAGCAAAATTTTAACAAATTTGTCAACATGACAAAGATTGATGAGGGATCTACTCATCTAACAAGGATTACACAAGGTACTAGATGTTGATGCCAAAAAGCCTGATACCATGAAAACTGAGGATTCGGCTGACTTGGATGAAAGGGCTGCTAGTGTAATCAGGTTGCCCTTATTAGATGATGTG